GGATGTTAGGTTACCTCAGGATCTGCTGAGAGAACAAGTCCTTCTGCTCCATAGTGACATGAGGTGAAGGGAAGCCAGGGGTCTGCAGGGTTTCCCTCAGCCACTGGGACAGCAGGGCCGGACACTGTCTATTCAAACCGAGCAGAACCTCAGAGAAGTGCTCCGTCAGGCTGCGGGAAGAACCTCCTCCGACTGCCTGAGACAGGGGCAAAACAAAACAATGCAGCGCAGGACATGGATCCTCCTTATTGGCATGAGAACAACAAGAAGGATTTCATGGTCTACCTGCAGCACCGTCTCTGTCAGGATCTTTCCATCCCCCTGCAGCACATCAACGAGGGGTGGCATGTCTTTGCAGCGACTCAAAAACTCTGTCTGTTGGTAAAATGGCAGAAAATAAAATAATTCCTGTGATGAACTAGATTGAGAAAGTCTCCCACTTTGTGTTCAAAGCTTACAAAGAACAGGCAGGCAGCTTTAACTGTGGGCGTCTCTGGGAACTTGATGGACAGGATCCCTGATTAAAAGCAAGAGAAACCCTTTTTAATTAGCAGACTTTAACAATAACTAAGATCTGCTGCTAGATTTTAGACTTTTAGGTGGAAAAGACATTTTGAAGAACTAAAAAGTTAGCTCTGCTGTTTTAGTTCTGTACCTATAATGATGCTCACCTGAGTAAAATAAAGTTTTGACGTCGAATTGGGCTGTTAGGTGCAAATCTGGACTCCTGTTCAGAATCTTAAAGTCAGAAGGACACAGGTTCGGAAGTTATATTACATTTTTTTTTGGGGTACTTGAATTTTTGAGGAAGCTAATGTGCATTTCACCAACCTGAGCGTGAAGGTTCATGAATGACTCTGCGATGTCAGGATGCTCCCTTGGACCTGCAGAGTAAGGAAGGGTGGTGGTAAGGAGGGAGGAGTGGCGGCCTAGTGGTTAGGAGATAGAGATTGGAATCCTGAGGTTCTGAGTTCGAGCCCCACTCCGAAAGGGTCTCTGGGCAAGGCCCTTAACCCCAGAGTGCTCCCCATGATGGCAGCCCACTGCTCCCCAAGGGGATTGGTGAAATGCAGAGGTAATACGGCCTCAATCACTATTTTTTCAACACTTTGCCTCTAAGGATCAAAACGTTCTTGGATTTTTTCTGTTAAAGAAACATTTCTTTTTATGTCTCTTTGGTTCAGTAAGAAAACACAGCTCAAATGTGGTTGTGTTATGAACAGAGGAAAGTTCTGGGGAGCGGTTGACATGCTTTATAGAGAATATTTCAGTACCAGTGATTAAAATGAAAGGGGAAAGAATTTAGGAACCCTAAAGAGGTATAGGTTGTGATCAGAAGAGCTACTAGTGCCTGGATTCAGAAGATTTTCACCTCCATTGGTCATGAAATCAGTCGCCTATATTAGCTCTTTTTTTCTTTTATTGACATCAGCCAATATGCATGTGTTTGCTAATTCATTGGTGCATTTGATTGATTTTATTATTACAGACTCAAGGTCCAATATACATTAAAAGAAAACAGGTACACTAAGAATAAAAAAGAATAAGAGTACAACAGAGAAGGTGCCTAACCCTTCAGGAGGCAATTATACCAATGTCTCCAAAGCACAGATGAGTATTTAACTGCACTATATTTGACATTGGTCAACAGTAAAATAATTCTATTATCAGACTCATAAGCTCATTTTGAGACATAAGCTTTCTCAGAACAGCCATAAAAGTCCCGACACTAACAGATACAAACAATTCACTGGCACTGGTCCATCTGGGCATTTAGGAGCAATGCCTTAACATCATGTAAAGTGCATGCATTTTCACCATGGGCGGTTCTAGACAGGGGCCAATGGGGGCCGGTGCCCCTGTAGATCATGTCCTGGCCCTTGTTATGGCCCCTGCACTGAAGACATAATACTCAAAGAAATTCTAATGATGCACTGGAACAGACATGGTTACTGATAGGTCCCTTTGGATCTATTTCATTTCTTTTTTTTTTCTTTACAAATTATGTTTTACTGATTATTTAAAAACAATAAGGGGATTGCTTCAGTTGTATTGAGATCCCAGTATCCCAGGTTTCATCTGCTAAATGTTGTTTTCAAAACAAATTTTAAAAATGCTCTAATTTTTACAGCTGAATTTATAGTTTTTTCTTGATTTGTTATTCTGATTTTATAGACTACGGTCATTTTAACTTAAATAAAGCCCAAAATATGTAAAATTCCTAAATGATTGCCCTAATAAGAAATATAATTTTAATTAAACATAACTGAATAGAAATTTCACTTCACTTCACTTCGCTCTCTTAATATATTTAAACCCCTTGCCCTGTTTTTTATTTCATGCTTTTCTGTGCCCCCATGAAAACAAGCTGGCCCCCTCCTGGCCCCCTGGTTCATTTTGTCTAGAACCGCCACTGATTTTCACTCTTTGCATTTGCTATCCATTGTTAAACTAACACTATGTAACATTTAGCCACTAGGGGCGCTCAACATTTTATCTCCAGGGTTTAGATCACAGGCTTCAAGCAGAAGGATGATCAGACAGATGAAGGTCTGGATAGAGTGAACTGTCCACATTCACATGGACATCCTGCCCTCCTCTCCCATTGACTCTCCTGCTTCTATGAGTTTGTTATCAGCCAAATCAGAAGATGGTGCTGCTCCCTCCACCTTTCACATGACTGTCTCTTAAAGTCAAATATATATGAATCGTAATAAGTCACCAGGTCCGGATGGTATCAGCCACAGAGTCCTGAATGTTTGTGCATAGCAGCCCTGNGGGTGTGGGTGGGGGGGGTTTACATTGTTTAAATGATAAAAATGATCATAAAAAACAATTCCATTAAACCTAATTAAAAACTGATAAACGTGATCTGACGATTTTTTTTTTGGTATTGTTTTTTTATCACAACTGCCACTCTGTATGTTTGTTTGTTTCTTAATTGTTCCACAGATTTTTTTTTTACAAACCTCTGTGCACAGCTGGGTGGGAATATACCGTCCCCAGCGAAGGATATTGATACCGAACTTTTCTTAAAATAAAACCAAACTAACAAGACTTCATTAACAATATTTGGCAGCCATTACCCGCTGCATCTCAGCTGATCTCTCCTCCTCACTAATATGTGTGCGGTGGGAGAAGAAAAGGTTCCAGGCGCCCTACTAGATTTGTTTTTAATGTTTTTGTAAATATAGAAGGCAAACCCATCCAATGATAGCATGGCAGTTTGAGATATGTCTAGAAATGTGCACAAGGACTATTTTCAGTTCACAGAATGCACACAGTCTGCTAAACGTAAATGCTAGTGTAGCCTAGCCTGTTCAGCTCATCTAAGGTTAGTTCCACTTATGGGAACATTAGGAAGCCAAAATTGACTTAATAAAACATGCAAAGGATCATGCTGTTTTACAAAGTGTCTAAAGAACACG